CATCAAATTATTTACAAATATTTTGTCTGTTTTTTTTTAATATTTCTATAGTCTTCATTTCTTACATACATAAAACATATTTCATGTATCTGCACAATGTATCATCATAATGAATTCAAACTACCTTTCTATAACTGATAACTGGGTGTACTTCTTATATATATATTAATAGTGTGCAATAATACAATGTATCTCCCTCTTTGTAGTAACAGTTACACAGTCATATCATAGTTCTGAAAGTATCTGTCATTAGACAGCCTCTAAAAATAGCTGGACTGTTACATTTGTCTGACTAGTCTTCATATGATAAGACCTGGTAAAAATCTTCATAGTACATGTACTTTGATCATTTCTGTAGATATACATGTATAAATATATCCAAAACATCATAATGGTCTCGAGTTTCATAGCTGTCATGGAATTTTTTTTATGACTAGTCAATGCAGCTACTAGATAGAATCATGTATTGTACATGTATGTCTTGTCACTTCTAGGATATTAAAGCCAAGAATTTGAATCTAGCTGAAATAAAAACAAATACAAATATTTATATTGTTTATTAAGACATACAATCATGATAAAATATATTTACATAAGTTTTGTCCATGAAATTGAAAAGAAATCGTCATGGGATATAAGTGTCAGATCAAAGTTTGATTTTTGACAAAAAGATGTGCAGATTGAGAGATAAAATTTTGTTAAATTTAAAACATGCATTTCATTTAATATATTATGTTCTAGTTTGCCTCTGTTGTAAGTTGACACATGGTCTCTATTAGGTCAATCAGATAGAAACATTGTGAATTCCAAAATTTAGTAGTTAATGTTGGTATGAGTTGACTTTTAGTGGTACGAATTGAAATGGTACGAGTTTGCATTAGTATGAAATGAATTGCTTTCCTGGTCAATTTAAATTCTACAGTACAAAAGTTATGAGACACAAATCAGACAAAGGGTTACTATTACAGGGATCAAAGGTGAGGTCTGATTGACCTTTCTTTAGTAAATGTAAAGGCTCAGAAATAAAAAAGTTCTGGTTTAAAAAAAATATCATAAACATTGAAATGTCAAAGTCTGACCACAGGCACTTGTTTCTATGCATGGGAAGATCCACTATCATCTTATATGTTGAGCTCCTAAATATACATTGATACTGGATCTTCCCATGGATAGAAACAAGTGAATGAGAGTCGGACACTGGCTTCATGTCATGATCATGATGATGTGGACCGAATTCTTCTGTCCGCATATATTTCCCAATTCACATTTGCTTTTTATTGATTTTCGCTGATTTTATACATTTTCAGACATCCGTACCTATATACAGTCAGGGGCGTTACTTAAACAAGTTATTTTTTTAAGTTACTTATATAAGTAATTTTTGTTTTTAAAAATAATAAAATTACTTAATAGAGTTATTTTAAATTTCAATAGAAGCATAGACTAAATGTAGTTTTCATGAATTTTTACATCATTTTATATCATAAAATAAAGAATTAATTAGATTTGAGAGGAGTATAGAGATAAAGGGTTACTTTAAAAATAATGACAAAAATATTACTTGAATAAGTTATTTTATACATTTTTGAAAAAAATAGTAATAACACTTATTGAAGGAACATATGTAATTGATTTTGGTTACAAGTTATAAATAACTTCAAGTCTTAATTAATTCACAAGTATCTATCTATTTATATCAGTCTACCTTCAAGATTTTGGAGGAAAATGATAATTTAATAGTCCCATGAGACCAATCTTTGACCCAGAAGCGTCAGTATGAAAGATAAGTGCATCAGAAAGTTAATTAGTGTTTCAGAAGGATTAGATTTTATACTTCATGGGAAAATTAACCAGATGACTGTGAAAATTTGTTAAAGCTACTACAATCTGTATAATTGGACACCTATAAAAATAATATTCAGAAAAATTACTTATATAAGTAATATTTAAAATAGCCTCGTTTTCAACATTACTTGTATAGGTAATTTTAATTGTTACTTATTTAAGTAATGCCCCTGACTGATATACAGTAATATATAAACAGTTTTTCTACATTTCCGTGTGCCTTACTATGATCAACGATCTTTCTGAGTCTAAAATCCATATCACATTCTACTTTCATTCTCGGCAAGTTTGTTGAAAGGGTCTCACTAATTAGAGACAAGACGCGTCAAGAAGCGACAAGAAGCGACAAGAAGCATCAAGAAGTACGTAGTGCTACCAGGAACATATATACTGTTCCCAGGTGCTACCAAATATAACATTATTTTAAACCTTATAAAACAGAAAATGATCAACTGTAATTAATTGACTTTTCTCTAAATGTATTGTTTTAATAGTATATAAACTTTCTTGTCGCTAAATGTGTCTTTTTGTCGCTAACATTTTTCTTCTTGTCGCTACTTGTTTCTACAATTCTTCTTGTCTCTAATTAGTGAGACCGTCTTGAAAAATATCGACTAATCAACGTCGATTTCCGGTTTATTTCATTCATAAATAACAACAACAGTATAATTTAACAAGGTCAGTTATGTGATAAACGGAATAATATAAAAGGAATTAAAATGTGCATATACATTTAATTGAAATCAATTAAAAAATCACAATCATCTCAAACAAAAAGAATATCATAATAAACAATAATTACCTTTCTATCATCAGAATCCTCCAAATTTAAAAGATACGTTTCGTCTTCTAAGTTAAAATTACCGCCAACTTAGACTACTGTAATTCCGTGTTGCCGCCAAACAATGTTCCTACGCCTTTTGCCATTTGGGAAATGTAAACGACTTGTATTTAGAGATTTTCGGCGATTAAATATTTCATACAATTGTTCTTTGACATCTTAACCAAAAGCACACGGGATAATAAACAATGTGCGAATTTCTATAGAGCACTATTTCCTATGTGTAACGTCAATTATTTTACGTTGTTCGACAATTAATTAAGGTTATTCTGGTCATATTTTTTGTATTCCAGAATTAAAAGTATGAAAAAAGTGTCCAATTAGTTATAAATAACCTATTACCCTGCTAGATAACAACAATGGCACCTATTTCAGTATTCTTTGAGAAAAAAGCAAATCTAGGGTGCTAGCATATGGCAGCTTAACTGCCAAAAAACAGACCAATACACAAAAACTTAACATTGAGCAATTAACCTTGAAAATGAGGTCAAGGTCAAATAAAACCTGCCAGACTGACACGTACATCGTAAAATATTTCCTTACACCAAATATAGTTAACCTATTGCAACAGTCCAAAACAAAAAAAAATGCTTCGCTGAGCGCAGCTGGATACGACCACAGAGGTCCAACCCTGAACAGTTGGGGCGAAAATGGACACAATATTAGCGCTTGATACAGGTCTGAATTTGGATTGTAATTAAATATTTGACACATAATAGGTTTCTGACACCGAATAACTGTAGTCAAAGGACTTAGAATTGGTTATAAAATTTGAATTTATATTCAATTTTTTGCTTTTGTGCAATACACTATGCTGTTGCGAATTGACACCCCCCCCCCCCCCCCCCCAACAAAAAAAAATAATTAACAAACCCTTTTTTTTTTGCTTTTGTGAAATACACTATGCTGTTGCGTATTGACCCCCCCCAAAAAAAAATTTTTGTTATTAATTTTACCCATCCCCCTTTTTTTGGCAAAAAAAATTGCCCCCCCCCCCCAATTTCTTTTTTACCTCCCTCCCCCCCCCCCCCCCCCCCCCCCCCTTTTTCCAAAAAAAAAATCTTTCCCTCAAGATATGGTCATAATCTCAATTCAAATTTCGAATGGAGTTTGCAACCATAATTACCAATTTAAATACATCACAAATAGATAGTTCAAAAGCAGTGTAAGGGAGGTAATCCAACATTGTACAACATTGTACAATTTTGATTTTGGATTACCTCCCTTATACTGCTTTAAAATTGTCCATTAACCAGGAAACCCTTGTTTTTTCCCCTTTTTTGCCCCTAATTCCTAAATGGTTTGAGCCATAACCCCCCAAAGCCAATCCTAACCATCCCTTTGTGGAATGGAAACTTGTGGTATAATTTCAGTTTGTCTTTTTATTTTTGGCCATGGCGTCTTGTCGGTTTGTTTTCGATCTATGAGTTTGACTGTCCCTCTGGTATCTTTCGTCCCTCTCCTTTCAGAGAGATCCATACACTTAAACACAAGTTATTGTCTGGAAGTTACAAAAATGCTTATTTTTTACCCCTTTTTCCTTAACTGTTGGTACCATAACCCCCAAAATCAATCCCAACCTTCCTTTTGTGGTATTGAACCTTATGGTAAAATTTCATAGAGATCCATTCACTTAAACTAAAGTTATTGTGCCAAAACCCATGTGTCTTCGGACGACGACCACGCCAACGTCATACCAACTAAACTAAAACCACTGAACCATGAAAATGAGGTCAAGGTCAGATGACACCTGCCAGTTGGACATGTACACCTTACAATCATTAAATACACCAAATATAGAAGACCTATTGCTTATAGTATCTGAGATATGGACTTGACCACAAAAACTTAACCTTGTTCACTGATCTATGAAATGAGGATGAGGTCAAGTGAAAACTGTCGGACAGGCATGAGGACCTTGCAAGGTACCCACATACCAAATATAGTTATCCTATTACTCATAATAATAGAGAAATTAACATTACAAAAAATCTTAACTTTTTTTTCAAGTAGTCACTGAACCATGAAAATGAGGTCAAAGACAGTGTACATATGACAGACGGAAGTTCATATCATAAACCATCTATATACAAAGTATGAAGCATCCACTCTTCTACCTTCTGAAATATTAAGCTTTTAAGAAGTTAGCTTAAATGCCGCTGCTGCCTGATCACTATCCCTATGTCGAGCTTTCTGCGGTTGCAGGCTCGACAAAAACATAGAGAATTTAATTAAAACAAACCAAAAAAGAACAAAATGGTAACAAAAACAAACGATTTTTACAATTTCTTCAATACAGGGCACAATTACCTACCAGTATGATGAAAGCCTTGAGTTTCAAATCTATTCCCCCCAAATCTGTTCCTTAAGTTGGAAGTTGACTCTACTGTTACATCAGCTGTGTCTATAGGTAGTTTTTCTTGTTCAAAATAACCTTGACCTTGTGAATCAGGCTGTATCAAATCAATGGAAGACTCATCTTTAACTAACGGAACTTCTTGTTCTTTGTAAAATTTATCACTATTCCAAGATCTATTCTGATCAGTGGGAGTTTCTCTTTTCAAATCGGTTGTTCTTAAATTTTCTTGTTCAAAATAACCTTGACCTTTCATGTCGGATTTCATCCATTCAGAGGATGATTTATCTTTAACTGGTGGAATACCAGGTTCAGTATAAAATGTCTCTTCCATCTGTCTTGGTCTACTTTGAATTTTGTAAGTTTCGAGAGAAAAACTTTCCCGTTCAGAGTTGTCATGATCATGTGTGTCTTGCCATGTCCATTTATTAGATGGGTCAACCAATACTGGAACAGGGGGAACTTCCTGTTCACTATAAAATGTTTCCTCTCGTTGTCTTAGTCTAGTTTGATTGTTTGCAGTTGTTCTTACAGGAATGTTTTCCGACACATCTGTTTCAAATATTTCCTTTGTGGAAAATTCATCATCTAAATCTTCCCAATTGTTTTCAAACTTATTTACATTTACATAGGTCACATAAGGGTTATTACCATGGTTACCATTTTGTTCCTTTGGTAACCCCACACTTTGTAAACCCTGAACTAGCCCACTTCCTTCACGAAAAACTGGCAGGGTTGACCCATGACCAGAACAAACATTCAAAGCCATGTTGAATTCAAACTAAAATCCTCATCCACAACGTCAAAACCTATATTTCTTTTAATCCGCCAAAGAAACAGTTTTGAGGTGGTTGTTCACACATTTTTACTACATATTCAGGTCATTTTCAATAGACAGTATTAAATATGTCCAAATATAAACGAAATAAATCATTACTTAGTGAATTTAAAATACCACTTCTTATTCAAAATGTCACACATTCTGAACTTTTAAATGTATTCTAATCCAACCATTCATGACTTCCATAAATTCAACAACAGGCAGAGCGAGGAATCAATTTCAAGAGATACTGAGGTTTGTCATACTCTTTCTCTCACATATATATGATATTGGTTTTCTAGCAGTACATGTTTATTTAGATAAACCACTATCCTACCACCTATCTGTAAATATTAACTGTTTAATCCTTAATTAATGACCTTACATGGTTTATTTTATATAAATCAAAACTGAAGTTACTGTATGTACACAGGTAAATTATGATGTAGGTGAGTACATCTCATGGATGTATTTTTAATCACCTAGTTAATTGGATGAGAACATGTTATCTGAGACTACTATAAGTTATAGTAGTCTCAGATGTTATGAACTGATGAAGGCAAACAAGAATGATTGTCATGGATCGGTAGTTTTGTGGATATTTTTCCTTACTATCGAGGTAGCTCTAAATAAGAAAATAAGGTTTCCAATATCAATCGTGCATTATTTTCTGTTATACATAAATATTCCTTTACAAATTTGCATAATGACTGAGATATCAAATAATATCTAAAAACCATTTCCATGAACAGATCATAAGTATTCATGTAGGAACATTATTTGCTTCTGACAACAAAAAAGTTTTAAAACTATTACATTAAATATCCAACTTAATTAGAATTACAATACAGGAAAGCCTCAATATTTTAAAGGATTATTCAGGTATTATATAGACAAAAACAAAGCAAAAAGGTCTAGAAAGCTTAATGGACAAACAAAATAAAACATTATTTCTGTAACCAATTACTTGTTTTTAATAGAAGATTAAGTCATGTTTAATGCTATATGTATCCAAAAATTTCACACATAAAATTTATTCAAAACCAAAAGCCTCATGCATGATCTTATATATCTTTAATAACCTTATTTTTTGTCAAAAAACCTGGATAAAAACAGGTTATTCCTTTCATTTTCAGTGTCAGGGTGAATTCAACAAATTGAAGGGGTAGATAGCTTTGAGGAGGGGGGATAATTTCTTATTACTATCAACACTCATGTCAGTAGACTAGGCGGTCCATTTGTGCATTCCCCATCTCTTGTAGAATGCCCTCCCTAAAGGAAGAACCTCCTAATTTGATGTTACATGACCAATCATTTGAAGCACATAAAACAGAGTATTATAAAGATGGGTATGGTTAAAACTGAAGGGAAGAGAATAACTAAAGAAATTGCTGTTGTTGAACCTGATCTGTAAATAGGTCACAGCCTCTCAAGCTGACCTTATAATGTTGCAGTAGGTGGTTTACTATATAGAGAACTTGACTTTTTTGTCAGGTATTAAAATCTGTACAAGAAAGGGATAATTAAACAGTTGAAAATTCTTAAAATCACAACTTTTTAAATTTTAACTATGAATATCTCATACTTAAAACCAAATAACATATTAAGATTAAAAAATGCATGGTTGACTTACTTCCTAAACTATCTCCTTTAAGGATTAGTTGTCTACTAGATGTCAATTCATGATCAGCCATTTCAATTTTTAAATACAATGTATTTCTAAATTTATGTTTACATCTTGTGACTGGTCTATAAATAGAATATATTTATTGTAGATACATGTAATCAATATCTACCTAAATATGTGTTTATCAAAAAATTAGCCAAACAAACAGATTTTTTTTTATTCATGAATTATATATACCATAATATCCATATATATGTATAAATATATATTACTGCTGAATTAATCGGAGCAAATGAAACAAATTGCCATGCATTGCTCAAAATATTCACACAATCAAAGCCTAAAGAAAATCCTATACATGTTAACTTGTATTTAAGCCAGTGGTAGGATGGAAGGCACTCAAATTAATTAAATATGAGTTGTTGCATTTTCCTTAGAATTTTGTAAGAATTATATAAGTAAAAATCTAAATTATTACACAGGTCTGTAGAAACATAAGTCCAATTAAAGTTTTGGCAATTTATATCAGTTTTTACCTTTAGTTCAATGAATTTTTATTGGGGAATAGTTTAAATATTTTTTTTTTACATTTTATTAAACTGGTGATATATACGATATCCCATTACATGTGAAATCTATATCACCAGTTTAATAAAATTATAATTAATCTTCAAATGTTTCGATTACTTGAAACATTATTCTGAACTCAATTTATATTTCTTGCACTATTTTTTAATAAAATGCTTCGCTGGGCGCAGCTTGATACGACCGCAGAGGTCGAACCCTGAACAGTTGGGGCAAGTATGGACACAACATTCAAGCTTGATACAGCTCGGAATTTGGATTGTGATTAAATATTTGACACAGCATAGGTTTCTGACACAGAAAGAATGTGGTCTAAGAACTTGAATTTTTTTAATTTACCTATTATGGTCCAATGTCCAAAATCAAAATACATGGTTAGATTCAGCATATCAAAGAACCCCATATATTCAATTTTTGTTGAAATCAAACAAAGTTTAATTTTGGACCCCAACTTGGACAAACTTGAAAACTGGGCCCATAATCAAAAATCTAAACACATGTTTAGATTCAGCATATCAAAGAACCCCAAGAATTCAATTTTTGTTAAAATCAAACTAAGTTTAATTTTGGACCCTTTGGACCTTAATGTAGACCAATTTAAAAACGGGACCCAAAATTAAAAATCTAAATACACGGTTAGATTTGGCATATCAAAGAACCCCAATAATTCAATTTTTGATGAAATCAAACAAAGTTTAATTTTGGACCCTTTTGACCTCAATATGAACCAATTTGATAGCGGGTCCACAAATAAAAAATCTAAATACATGGTTAGATTCAGCATATCAAATAACCCCAAGAATTCAATTTTTGATGAAATCAAACAAAGTTTAATTTTGGACCCTTTTGACCTCAATGTGGACAAAGTTGATAACGGGGCCCAAAAATCAAAAATCTAAATACATGGTTAGATTCAGCATATCAAAGAACCCCATATATTCAATTTTTGTTGAAATCAAACAAAGTTTAATTTTGGACCCCGATTTGGACCAACTTGAAAACTGGACCCATAATCAAAAATCTAAATACATGTTTAGATTCAGCATATCAAAGTACCCTAAAAATTCAATTTTTGTTAAAATCAAACTAAGTTTAATTTTGGACCCTTTTGACCTTAATGTAGACCAATTTGAAAACGGAACCAAAAATTAAGAATCTAAATACACGGTTAGATTCGGCATATCAAAGAACCCCAATAATTCAATTTTTGATGAAATCAAACAAAGTTAAATTTTGGACCCTTTGGACCTCAATGTGGACCAATTTAAAAACGGGGCCCAAAATCCAAAAACTTAATACACGGTTAGATTCAGCATATTAAAGAACCCCAAGAATTCAAGAATAAAACCCCATTGAAATTGATCAAGAAATAAGCAATTTATACGAAGTATCTTCTTTTGCACAATACTGTGCAATTGAATATTTCTTGCTATTGTGCAATACTGTACAATTGACAATTTCTTGCTATTGCGCAATATTGTGCTATTGGATATTTCTTGCTATTGCGCAATACTGTGCAATTGAAGATTTCTTGCTATTGCGCAATACTGTGCAATTGAAGATTTCTTGCAATTGTGCAATACTGTGCAATTGAAAATTTCTTGCTATTGCACAATACTTATTATATAATAATTTACACATCCTGTTTGGTGTGTATCTCCTACCATATCATTATTATTTGCTTTTAAATATTAATCAGAAATAACCAACTTAAAATGGAAAATTTTAAAAGAAAAAAAAAAGGAAAAAAAGAAAAAAAAAAGAAAAAACCCCCCCCCCCCCCCAAATTTTTTGAACCCCCTTATGATTCATCACCCCCAAACTCAATCCCAGCCTTCCCTTTGTGGTATGGTACCTTGCAGTACAATTTCAGAGAGATCCATACACTTGAACACAAGTTATTGTCTGGAAACTAGAAAAATGTTTATTTTTGGCCCCTTTTTGGCCCCCAATTCCTAAACGTTTCGGGCAATTACCCCCAAACTCAATTCCAGCTTTCCCTTTGTGACACGGAACCTTGTAGTACAATTTCAGAAATATCCAAACACTTACACACAAGTTATTGTCATGAAACTAGAAAAATGCTTGTTTTTTGCCCCTTTTTTGGCCCCTAATTCCTAAAATTTTGAGGCAATTACCCCCAAAATCAATTACAGCCTTCCCTTTGTGATATGGAACCTTGTGGTACAATGTCAGAGAGATCCATACACTTACACACAAGTTATTGTCTGGAAGTTACAAAAATGCTTATTTTTGGCCCCTTTTTGGCCCCTAATTCCTTAACTGTTGGTACCATAACCCCCAAAATCAATCCCCACCTTCCTTTCGTGGTATTGAACCTTATGGTAAAATTTCATGGAGATCCATTCACTTAAACTAAAGTTAGAGTGCGAAAACCAATGTGTCTTCGGACGACGCCGGACGACGCCAGACGACGACGACGACGACGACGCCAACGTCATACCAATATACGACCAAAAAATTTTCAATTTTTGCGGTCGTATAAAAACTTTAAAAACAGTTGTCTGTTAGTATGATTGAACCTCTTAAGGTGGTACATAACATTACAGGGAGATAACTCTTTAATAAAATGCTCCAGGGCGTAGCTTGATACGACCGCAGAGGTCGAACCCTGAACAGTTGGGGCAAGTATGGACACAATATTCAAGATTGATACGTACAGCTCTGAATTTGGATTGTGATTAAATATTTGACACAGCATAGGTTTCTGACACAGAATGAATGTGGTCTAAGAACTTAAAAATTTTAAATTGGACATTCACCTATTATGGTCCAATATCCAAAATCTAAATACATGGTTAGATTCAGCATATCAAAGAACCCCAAGAATTCAAATTTTGATGAAATCAAACAAAGTTTAATTTTGGACCCTTATGACCTCAATGTGGACAAAGTTGATAACGGGGACCAAAAATCAAAAATCTAAATGCATGGTTAGATTCAGCATATCAAAGAACCCCATATATTCAACTTTTGTTGAAATCAAACAAAGTTTAATTTTGGACCCCGATTTGGACCAACTTGAAAACTGGGCCCATAATCAAAAATCTAAATACATGTTTAGATTCAGCATATCAAAGATCCCTAAGAATTCAATTTCTGTTAAAATCAAACTAAGTTTAATTTTGGACCCTTTGGACCTTAATGTAGACCAATTTGAAAACGGAACCAAAAATTAAGAATCTAAATACACGGTTAGATTCGGCATATCAAAGAACC